TTGGCTTCGATATAACAGCTCTTATTCTCATCATGTATGGATTGAATTTCTAATGAGCATTTGACTATAACGCTTGTTGTATGCTTATTGATACCTTTTACATAAATTTCTTGCTAATTGTTCTGTTATTATACAAAATTGTGATCCTTGATCAAGAGCGCACGTATCGGATTGAATTATTTTTTAATCCTTATAATTACCATAAAGCAGTTTTTTCTTTTTGGATGTTGTATGATGCTGTCACTTCGGTCTCCGTGGTTTTCTACATTTTTGACATTTTCTGTTTATTTACGTTACTAGTGGATGTTGATTTGCCCTTAACTTGCTCATGAATTAGTTGATGGTGTTTTTTGTCGCAAATTGTACATCTTTTTTTACTTAAGCACAACTTACTAAAATGCCCAGTCTGAAAGCAATTGAAACATAATTGGCGCTCATAAACTTTTCAACACGTTCCGGCACCTTCATTTTCAGAAGCTCTGAACATCGAGTTAGTTGGTGATTCCCATTACACACCAAACATAGCGTGTGTATTGTAGTTACATGCGTTTTTGTATATACAGCTGTTGGTCGAAAATTATTCTTATTTTCACGGTTTGTGTCACGAGTTGCCTCCAATCCTTTAACTCTGCTCCCAATAAACTCGTATAAGTTGCTCAGTTTTGGTATTTGTGTTGATACTCCTCTTGAATGTTGGTATCATTTTCTGGTTTCACCACGTAATTTTGGAAGCAGTATCTGTATTATTAGTGGATCCCAACTTGACGTGTCCACATTTAAATTTATGATATATTCGAGCAAAAAATGATACACACGATCCGATGATTTCGACAAGTTTTTACTTCACTTTATTTAATATAATAATGAATAAAAAATTATACAGGAAAAAATGGGAGTTCTCTGACTTAAGGCCGGAATTACTAAACAAATAATATCTATTATATAAAGAGCACTTTACATGACAACACACCCTTTTAAAGTGCTTTTAATATGTATAAAACATGATTTTAGTATTCCATTCCTAATTTTCGTAAGCAATTAACATGCTTTTCTGTAGTGAGTCCTTTGGTAAGAACGTCTGCGGGCATTTCTCCTGTTGACAGATATGGCCATATATTCGGATTCAGTGCTTAAAAGCGCTACTGTGCGTAGCTTTCGAGCTTTCCAACATATTGCTGCTCCTGATATAATGAACGCATACCCTGAATTTGAACGTATATCGTTTAAATCAGAGCCCCAATCAGCGTCAACCGAACCATACAATTCTTCATTGTTTTTCTCGTACAATAGACTATAATTGCTAGTACCTTTAAGATATCTTAGGATTCGTTTCGCTACTAATCGTACTTTTTTTTCCATCATCTGTAGTTCGAAGGACGAATTTATTCCCAATGACTTTTCGTAATATCAATCTTTCGACCACTTCCCATGTTTTGTTCTTTACTTGTGCCACCATTTCGACTTCTAACGCCTTTGACCAAGAATTTGTTTTCTAGCTTTCAAGTGCCTCTAAAATTATTACTGAAATTTGATATGTAGTGAGGAACGCCATTTCACAATTTTCAAAAACGTTGCTGTCAGGTTCATCATCTGAATAGTTTTCATCTGTAATTTCTCTTAATGAACTTGTATTGTCGTCTTCGTTAGATCATTCTTTACCATTTCGATTTGAAGTGTGACATTTTTTTCAAGCCCTATCTCGCGAATTTGTGCGAATAAGTCTCGGACGACCTCTTCTACGAATCGAGTTTTTTGCTCACGTATCTGTATTTTCTACAATTTGCGGATTGACCGATGGTTTCTGATTTTCAGAATTTTCGAACGCAATATCGATATAATCATTTGTTTGGCAGTCGTTTTCATTGTTAATATAAATGTTTTCGTATTTATTATGACAGATATTTTTATTTACGAACACGACATCACGACTTATTGTTATATTTCGTTTTGTAGGTGACCATAGCCGATAGGCTTTCGCTTCGTTTGACTATCCAACAAACATGTAAGCTTCTGACTTAGAATCGAATTTTTCTCTAGTCTTATCCTTTTTTAAGACACATGCTTTAGAGCCAAATACTTGAAAATGTACAACAGTTGGCATTGTACGCACAAGATGGCATTTCACATCTTGTGCGATACTACACCATACAATACTTTTGTAGGACACCTATTCCGAATAAAGCACGTATTTATAGCCTCTGCCCAAACGTTTGACGGAACTTCAGCTTGTTTCATCATACAAAGGGCCATTTTAACGAAAGTTCTGTTTTTTCATTCAGCAATACCAATTTTCTCATTGGTCCGCACACATCACTATGAACAACCTCTAATAAATCACTTGTTCTGGTTTCTTTACTCATAGGAAATGACTTTTGTGCTTGTTTTTCACTAATATAAATTTCGCAAGTTGGAAGTTTTTGTTTAAAATTTAATTTTAATCCGTGTACTAGGTTATTACTAGTCAATTTCTTAAGACCATTTTCATTTATGTGGCCCATTTTCTGGTGCCATTTTTCAATGTCACATTTTCTTCAGCAACTTGTGCAAAATGATTCTTATTATCAACAATAAAAAGATTTTCACATCTTTTCGCTCGAGTTATAACCTTTTGATATTTGTCCAATATGATTCCATCTGAAGGACGAAAATGCACTTCATATCCACTGTCTACTATTTTTGATATAGAAAGTAGAATTGTACGCAAGTCTTCGACATATAGGACTTCTTTAATATTATTATCACGACCGTCTACGGCTACAATTATTTTCATTTTACCGACGCCGCCTATATTCGTTGTGTTATCGCTTGCTAAGTTAAGCACTTTTTTCGATTTTTGAAAGTCTGTAAAATATTCACGGTTTGCACTTAAATGGGCAGTACAACCTCTATCTAGGCACCAATAGTTTTCTTTTATTTAGCTAATAAATGCATCTTCTACATGATAGCTAAAATTATTGTTTACAGATTTTTCCGAATTTTTCAATTGCGTGTTACATTCATTTTTTGCTTTATTTTTACATTCACGTGCAAAGTGTCCGCTTCTTCTAAGATTTTCACTCGAAATATATCTGGTTTCTGCAGCTCGTCGCGCGTTACTAATTCGCACCCGAAAGTGTTGGAAGGCTTCGGTAGACTGTATAAGAGCAGGATAACAAGAAGTTCATCCCCGATGGTGACGTCAATTTCTTTCAATTTCACAACGGCTTCGAAGCAATCGTTTAGATGTTCTCGAATCTTCTCACCTTCTTTCATCCGCGAGAGTGCTACCTTTTTCAGCAACGTTGCCTTGCGCGAAGGCCCTTTTGATGAATATGTCGCTTGAAGTTTCATCCACATTTCTTTTAAGTTTGTGCATTCTGCAATTAATCTCACTTCTGATGCACTTACTGATGGCATTATATCAGCACACGCTTTCTGGTCAAGCTGATCCACTTTGTAGCCCCTTCGCCCGTTGGGCACGGCGTAGTACTGTCGACATACGGCCACAAATCGCATGTAAGCGTGCTAGGCCCATAAACTATTATATATTTTAGCAAAAAATGGTACACACAATCCGATGATTTCGACAAGTTTTTACTTCACTTTATTTAATATGATAATGAATAAAAAGGAATTCTGGAAAAAATGATAGTTCTCTGACTTATGGCCAGAGTTACCAGGCAATTAATATTTTACATGACAACAAAATTACGTATACCATATAACACCTCTCTAGAAGCATCCATTAATGTTTTTAAGTCCTGCGCATTCTCATTTCTTACAACTCTGAGCGACAAAAACTTATTGATAAGATTGTCCACAAGTATTGCTGGATTGTTGTATCCAGTGACGACTGCTTTAAGGTACGGAGGTGTGCGGTGCACACCCTAACATAATTTGCATATTGTCAAATAATATATATAAATTTATTAAATATCTTTTCATCAAGAATTAATATTATTTATTACATTTTCATATGTATATTTTTAAAGATTAAATTTTAACAAAAACAATTAAATATAATTGTCTATGAAAACTCATTTAATTTGTTCTATTAGCCTCTAAAGTCGTTAGTTGTGCTCATAACTTTGCAGCTCACATCGCAAAACATTTCTATCATATTTCGTCTTTCCCCTTTAAGATATTGCATTCATAAATTTCTGTCATAAGTGTGCACAAAAGTAGAATGAACAAAATAATGTGCGTGTGCTCTAATTTAAAATATGAGATTGGAAATTGTAGGAGAGTATTTTCTGTTCTATTCGAATATCAACTACATGTATAACAATTCAACATGTTGACTTTGCAGCTCACAAATTTTCATTACATTTCTTTCAAATTTCGTCTCTCCCCTTTTAGCTGTTGCTCCAGCGAATAATAACCGCTTTGTGTGCGGAATTGCAGTCCGCACATTTTTTCGTTGCAAGTGTGTTCGATTGTGTTTGACCACTGCATCAACATATGTTTCTAAGTACAAACTCTTTTTTTTGAAAAAAGTTGGTTTGATGTTATAAGATATATGAGAAAAGTTGTATTTATTCCACATATTGATATAATATTAAACTTGTACATAAATTATTAATTTGATTTATTTAATATGTTATTTTGTTAATAAATTATTAACTGTTGTATTGTGAATATATTGTTGCCTAATGTAATATAGTTATTATTAATAAAACATGTCATATATTTCAATTTATCAATTTTAATTTAAGCATACCCTTCCAGATAGGGCACACGTCGTCACTGGTTATATCTTTGTCCTAGTAGTTCAACAGCCGCTGTATAATTCGCTGTTAAATGATTGAGGAATCTGGCGGCTACTTCCCGCGCACTTTCTTTTACATACAGCATTCTTTCGACATCCACTAGAATATGGTTTTGTTAAACTAACCGGTCGAACAATTCTCAAAATCGACACCACTCCTCATATCTGCCGTTGGTACGTTCAACGGTGATAGTTTGATATTAGCTGCGTTTCAGCAAACATGATCCACTCAATTTTTGATGCAAAACAAAAACATTCTGGTTTAATGTGGAATGTATGTAAATAATAAAAGGGGAACGTATTTTAATGCAAATGTGGTTGGCAATGCGATATTAACATATGGTACGGTGACAGAATATTTAAACAAAACAATAAGTGAAACCATGGATTTGGACGGCAAATAGTTGAGTTGTATTTTTATTTATAAAATTAATGATGTTATTCAAATTTAAATTATAGTTAGAGGCGCAGTTGGACAAGAGAGGAAACAAAGGCGTTACTGCTTTCCTATCAGAGCAGGAAAGATGAATTTGAAGATCATCGGCGTAAAAATTGCCTGCAGATGGTTAGTAGCAGAGTTAGTGTTTTGTGATATAAAACTGTTTTTATGTAATTAAATTGTATGGAAGAATTAGCGTAGGTTGATTAGTCTTATAGTTGTTAATTGGGGTGACTTGTTTTAATCAAAATTTCAGTGACGCTAAAATCTATTACTAAATGCAGACGACAAAGCTTATGTTGTGTTTAAATTAATACAAACTTTAGCAAATGAAATATATAATATATTTTTCTGATGCATTTTACTTATTTTAGTTTAGTGCCTTTTCATATTTTAATAAATATATATTAATTTTTTTATTGTATGTTTTTCAGAGACTCCAGGACCGTCTCGTAAAAGGCAATTGTCACCAGGCAACAAAACCACCGGAAAAATTGAATACGCTGCCAAAAAAATTGAAATTCTAGAAGATTATACTAATAGGAAATTGGAGTTAAGAGAAGAGGCTCTTAAAATAAAAGCAGACAGCACAAGCAAAAAATGCAGATGTTCGAAAAAATAGCTAATAACGCAAATTTTAAGTTTGTTTTAAGTTATATTTTTATTCGTCATTTTAATCTTATTAAAATTATTTAAGTATTTATTTTTTGTTTATTTGATTATATTTATATTATTTTATTTATTTGCATGTATTTGTATTTTATTTATCTATTTATATAATATGTTATTATTATTTATTTCAGTATATCTTGTATATTTAAAGTTATGTTTTATTTATTATTATTAAGTAAATTGAAATGAAAAATTTAACTAAATTCTTTTATTTAACTAAAACACAATACATAATTTACTTGTAGAGTAAAGCAATTGTAAATAAATGAAAATGAAATGATTCAATGTTAAGTTGTTATGACACCAGTATCAATTAAATATCTTAAAACTGAACTCCGTCTGTTGTCCACTTCAAAATTTTGCTCATTTATTATATCTTCTTCATTCGAATATATATTTTGGGTAAATTCATTATCAATTTCATCATTTTGCGAAGAGTATATATTATGCAATATGCACGCACACATAATTAAATTTGTTCTTGCAGGTGTTCGTTGTTGTTCCATGAAATACAAGAATCGACGAAACCTAGTTTTCATACGCCCAAAAGTGTCTTCTATACAACTCCTTGCCTGGGAATGCAATACATTGCATTATCTTTAGGCAGAGGACAAAGAACCATTATCTTTGAATGGACTTACAAGCCTATTTAAATTAGGATATGCAGAATCTCCTAATAGAAAAGAACCGCTGGGAAATTTGCTTGGCAATGAAGCTTCACTATATAGTTGTGATCTGCGTAAAACTCGGCTGTCATGCAAATAACCAGGCTCTCCAACATACACGTCCAAAAAAAGACCATTTGCATCGCAAACTGCCTGCAAGATTAACATATGCTATGGTGTGGTGCATTTATTTTTATGTGTGTGCTGTCTATGCAACCAATCACGAACGGAAATTTTTTCGTGGCTTCCACTTTTGCCATATTAGCAAATGCTTCGAACATATTTGACCATTTTATAAATTTATGTCCAATAGATATGAACGAAACTCCAGTTCTTTCAACTATTCTCCATGCAGAAGCTTATTTGCCATATATCGTTATATATCATATTTGCCATATACTACAAAAATACATAAATTTCCCTCTCTGCAGTCGTCCTATTGTCACCACCACGGTTCTTTTGTATTTGCTGATTGGAATTTATAAACAAACCTATTGAAATATAAAGTATAATTAATAAATAACAATTAAATTTTTTTTGCTTCATAGCAATCAAATAACACTAGTTTACAGCCAAAAATTTCCAAAGACGAGACTTATATTTCCTATAGAACTAGAAAATCACAACGATTTTTTTTTCCTGTGTACCGTTTTCGAGTTATTTGCAAAAAACCTTTATTTTGACTTTTCTCAAAACATCACCCTACATATGGCCCTGTAACTTTATTTTTGAAGTTACCATAGCAGTGCATGATATATCAAATTAAAGGTGAAACTTGTACGAACATTTTGAGCTATATAGCCTTACAGATGAAAAATCCTTTTTTTTTACGCTTTTTTTAACTTTTTCGATTTTCAATGTGATGGGACTCCCACAAAAATACTTTAAAAAAATTCTTTTTTTGATTAATGTTAAAGACTGTTTCAGTACAAACATTTCGAGTGGCTTAACATAAAAATCGAATAAAAATTTCAGAAGTTATTCGCCATTTTCCAAATTTGCCCAAAATAGTGGTTTTTATTAACATCTCAGAAAAATCATTTTTTCGAATTTGTTTTTTAAAATTTAGAGTGCAAATCAAAACAGTATTATATAAAATTGTACAAATTTTATTTAAAAATTAAAAATTAATATTATTAAATATTAATATATTGCATTTTATATAAAAGTTTGACGTCGAACGTGAAGCTGCTGATTGCCTATGTATCATGTGATATATAGCAGTTTATTAAACTGCTAATTTTACATATGGTATCATATGATACCATACGATTCTACTTGGGATTTGCTATGGCTAAGTAAGATAAACCGTGGACTTTTAACGCAGTGTGTTTAACCTGCAGGATTACACTTAAAAGATGGTATATTGGAAGAAAACAATATTTGAACTTTTGTGTACCAATATTATGGAAAGAGGTTATAAACTATTTTCAGTGTTATTTCTGCGTCATAAATTTTAAATGTATGATGTCGCCAAAGAAAATAAGATTTCTAAAGTATACAAAAAAGTATCAGCAATTAAGCCAGTTTCACGAAGCAATGCGACTGCTCAACCAACTCCACCAAATATGCAAGAAAACAATAGTGAATATGAAAATAAAGTTTCATTTAAGAGTTCTACGAGTGAAATCGCAAATCATTTTATATCACAAATTGAATTACACCATTTAACTAGAGACTTACATTTATCGAAAGCTCATAGTGAGCTTCACGTTACGTCTTCAACAGTGGAACTGCTTAAATGAATCGACAAGAGTAAATGAATATCGCAACAGAAGCAATGCATATTCATGTTTTCTCAAAAAATTCCATCAAACAGTTTATTGCAGTGATATAAAAGATCTTTTCAACGAATTGCAAATAAGGTGCGATCCTAGCGAATGCCGTCCTTTTATATATTTAAAATTTAGTTTAAAAGCTGCTGTTGTTCACAACGGCAATGAACTTCCCACTATACCATTAGCGCATGCCGTTAAAAACCTATAATGAAGTCGAGGAAGTTTTAAAGTTAATTCAATATAACGAATTCAATTGGAAGCTATGCGTCGATTTAAAGGTTGGTTTTTTGATTAAAGCAACAAAAATAACAAAAATGTAGAAATCTAATTTAAAAAATGTACTTATGTTAATTGTACTCTTTCTGTATTTTTGGTTTTGAAGATTATTGCATTAATGATTGGTTTGCAACGTGGTTTTACGAAATATTGTTGTTTTCTGTGTTTATGTGAAAGCATAGCTTTATTCGCGATGAAAAAATATCGCTAATAAAGCTCTTATTAAACCGTGTCAGATAGTTTTGTCACCTTTGCATTGTAAGGCCTAAATTTTGCATTAAAATATAGGCTCACAAATTTAATTAATAGTATAATGGGTTTTTTTATAATGAGTTTTAAATCCACTTAATAAAACATATTTCTATATTCAATAAAATTTTTCTGCAGTAACACCTATTTTTGGCCCTGTAAATTACATATCAAAGACAAACATTTTTTATAAACGAATGACCCTGTGAAGTAAAATATGTTTTGATTAGTTTTTTTGCCGCTAATAAAAGTTAGTTAAATTTGTTGTAACTATTTCTCTTGTTTGTCTGCATAAACAAATTTAAGAAAAATATTGTGCACGCATTTTTTATGTGATGCAGTTATTTTTGTTGAATTTGATTGCAATGCGTACAACAATAAGAAATTTGTTTTGACAAATTTACGGGACTTTGTTTATTTGAAAATAATTATTGTTTTTGTATGTAATGGAAGGAATTTCAAATAAAAGGGCAGCGAAATTGCCAACTCTTTCTATTTGGAATTTCTTTCACTTCAAGGTAAGTCACTTTTATTAGGGATGATAGTGGGAGCTCGGACTAGTTGGTCCAGGCATATGTCGATTCGTTTGGCCATTGCTGACGATCACCATGTGAATGGATGAACTAGTTTGGGTGAAGTGATAATGGTTGAATTACCTTCTGCTTGGCTTATGCTGGCGTAGGGTAATTTAACCAGTTGAGTTACCTTCTGCTTGGCTTTTGCTGGCGTAGGGTAATTTAACTAGTCATCCAGACTTCCATTTGGCCATAGCTGATGGAGGAATGGGCGACGAGTCACCAACACCGTCAGAAGGCGTGTGGACAACGAGCGTTTGGCAATTGCTGACGGACGTGGCCAGGCGTAACAGTAGAAAGGAACCCTTGTCTGGCTTTTGCTGACAAAGGTATTGTTTTATATTGATATTAGAGTTTCTAGAGATTAGCTATTTGGAATTTCTTTCACTTCAAGGTTAGCAACTTGCGCACCACTGCAAGCAATCGTCATACGACATTTCACAACATTCTACACCGTTTACAACATCGTGACAGCGTTTATGACATCATACAACATTTCACAACATCCTACACCGTTTACAACATCGTTACAACATTTATAACACCATACAACATTTTACAACATGCTACACCGTCTACAACATCATTACAACGTTCTACATCATTAGCAACATTTTCAACATCGCTTTCCACAAATTGATTATATTTTCTTATTTTTTGTTAAATAATAAACGCTACTTTAAACAGAAGTGTCTCTATTATTTTACTTAGATAAATTTTCTTATAACGAACCCTAGTATACTCGCTGAGTATACCCCAGCTATAGATAGGGCCGGGAAAAGGTCGTTACAAGTGGCGCCCGAGCAGGGACACAATCAAAACAAAGGTTTCAGAGACACCTGTATTGAGGTTAATATTCGTCATATCAATATTCGTGAAGACAACAGTTGTAAGTAACATCCAACGGTACGGCAAAACAAAACGCACAGAACAACAGACATGCTGAAAACCAGCTGGATAAGCTTTGCACGTAAAGAGGATCTCGTACCAATACTGGAGAAACTAGAAGCAGATACTACGGGGACAGTCGAAGAACTCCGCAAACGTTTAAGGGATATCGCAACAAACGAAAACCATCCTGAGGAATTGGTTAACCTATCCAGCGAAATGGAAAAAAAATACGCACGCAGTGTTTCCCCAAAACCAACAACGGCAACAATCGTTACACCTTGTGAAGAAGACAATAACACCACCCCTGTAAAGAGTTTTGAAAGCATTGCCAAAGTCATGGATCAGGTACGTAAGTGGGCAGTACACAACGATGGTCTATCCAATATTATGGAGTTTGTTGAGAGACTTGAAGAGTTGGCAGAGGCGTACCAGATTCCCCTAGATGTGTTACCCAAAGCAATGCCCGAGTTATTAACAGGTCAGGCGTTAGTAT